GCCAGGGGGTGGGGGTGGGGGAGTAATACTTACAAAACTTGTGAAAAAAAAAATTGGAAAAAAGTGAGCCACAACTTTTATGTTCAACAAACTAATGATCAAGTCTAAAGACAAACGTCAGGCTTTTTCATACATGCAAAAAAATGGAAGGCACCATAAACCCTTCTCAGCAAAGAAAACCAAAACAAAGGGAGAATTCAGTATTAGAGAAGCTGTAGTATAAGTACTGGTGATGCATGAAAGCTTAGCCGCTCAGTCACGTCTGACTCTTTGTGATCCCATGGACAGTAGCCCACCAGGCTCCTCTGTTCATGGAATTCTCAGGCAAGAATAGTGCAGTGGGTTGCAATGCCCCCCTCCAGGGATCTTCCCAACCCAAGGACTGAACCGTATCTCCTGTTTTCTCCTGCATTGGTGGGTTTATTCTTTACCTGCTAAGCCCCTGGGGGACAACAGATTAATTCAAATATGACTTTAGCTCTACCACAATAAGGTGATGTTAAAATTTTTTGACTGAATGATAATAGTAACATAAAAATTGGGAGGTGAGAGCTATTGAAAAAGTGTTGAATTTTTATCTTTCATATGTCTAAAACTGAGTTAAAACAGTAAGTTCAGCTTCTAGTTTGCATTATCTTTTACTTCTAATGACTTCCCTTTGAGACACACTCAGGCAGGTTTGTGTATCCTGTCTTCTATCCTTTTACTTTCATGCTCTCTTAAACCTAGCCTACTCAGGCTTTTGCCACCAAGCCATGTAATAAGCTGACTCTTATTGATGACCTCTGCATGTGCGTGTGTGTGTGTTAGTCGATCCCTTGTGTCTATTTGCTGCCCCATGGACTGTAGCCCACCAGGCTCCTCTGTCCATGGAATTCTCCAGGCAAGAATACTGGAGTCAGTTGCCATTTCTCCCTCTAGGGGGCCTTCCCTACCCAGGGATAGAACACAGGTCTCCTGCATTGCAGCCAGATTCTTTACTGTCTGAGCCACCAGGGAAGGGCCCTATTGATGACCTTCACTTCAGTTCAGTTCAGTCGCTCAGTCATGTCCAACTCTTTGCGACCCCATGAACAGCAGCATGCCAGGCCTCCCTGTCCATCACCAACTCCCAGAGTCCACCCAAACCCATGTCCATTGAGTCAATACTTCAGTGCTCAGCTTTCTTTATAGTCCAGCTCTCACATCCATACATAACCACTGGANCTTGTGCTTCCTCCAGCCCAGCGTTTCTCATGATGTACTCTGCATATAAGTTAAATAAGCAGGGTTACAATATACAGCCTTGATGTGCTCCTTTTCCTGTTTGGAACCAGTCTGTGATCCCATGTTCAGTTCTAACTGTTGCTTCCTGGCCTGCATACATATTTCTTAAGAGGCAGGTCAGGTGGTCTGGTACTCCCATCTCTTTCAGAATTTTCCACAGTTCATTGTGATGTTGTTAAATCTAACAGTCAGTTCTCAGACCTCATCTTACTTGAATATCACTTAAATATCTTACTTAAATATCAGTAGTATTTGACACAATTGATCACTTTCTTCTCCTGATACATTTGTTTCCTTGGTTTTCCAGACACCTGACTCTGCTGGTTTTCTACCACACACATTCCTCCTTCTTTGGCCTCTAAACCTATACAGGGTTATGTGTTGTTGATATCTCAATAAAAAAAGAAGTAATAAAAGCATTCAAATTTAAAAGAAAGAATTAAAATTATTTGTTTGCAGATGCACAATCTTACATATAGGAAAACCAATATTTCACCCAAAATATTCCACATGCCTTCTGTGTGCTGAGTCGCTTCAGTCATGTCCAACTCTTGTGACCCCATGGGACTGTAGCCACCTCTTGGCTTACCATGGTCTGTAGCCTGACAGGCTCCTCTGTTCTCGGAATTCTCCAGGTAAGAATACTGGGGTGGGTAGCCATTACCTTCTCCAGGGTTTTAACCTGGGTCTCCTGCATTACAGGCAGATTCTTTACCATCTGAGCCACCGGGGAAGTCCAATAGCTTTTTGGCAGTTACCTGCCGGGAGTGCTTGCTAAGTAGCTTCAATCGTGTCTGACTGTTTGTGACCTTATGGACTGTAGCCCACCAGGCTCCTCTGTCCGTGGGATCCTCCAGGCAAAATTACCATGCCATGCCCTCCTCCAGGTGATCTTCTTGATCTAAGGGTTGAACCTCAATCTTTTGTCTCCTGCATTGGCAAGTGGGTTGTTTACCACAAGCACCTGGGAAGCAAAAATACTGCCTCCCCACACACAAATAGCACTAACAAACCAGTTCAGCAATGCTGCAGGATATAAAATCAATGTACAAAAATCAGTTACATTTCTATACATGAACAATAAGCAACATGAAGAGTAAATTAAGAAAACATATCCCATTTACAATATCACCAAAAAGAATAAAATATTGAGGAATAAACTTAATCCAGGAAGCTAAAGGCTTATACAATGAAAATTACAAAACATTGCTGAAAGATATTAAACACAAATAAACACATCTGTGTTCATGAATTGGAAGAATTAGTAGTGTTAAAATGTCTACACTACCTAAAGCAACCTACAGACTCAATGTAATTCCTATTGAAATCTCAATGGCATTTTTTTTAGAAATAGGAAAAAATACCAAAGCTAATTTAGGATTTTGATTCTTTCTCATATTTGGGTTATTTTTTTCACTTTGGGGAGAAGTTCTCAAATAAAAGAATACCTTGGCAATTGCTTAGAAGTATCTATAAATTGATATAATCTCACTGATGATATCTTTTTTCCTTACTTTCTCTTATTTGGAATCCAGCCTATGAGAGCCCTTAGTAGGGGGGTCCAACTAGAGCAGCCAATATGAGTGCTTATCTAGCCTCTCTGCCAAATAACCATGAGTATCCACTAGTAGCCTCAACCACTAGTTACATGAACCAAGAAGTGTTGAATATTGTTTATCATGTTATTTATGGACTAAGAGAGATCTACCTATCCTCTTCTCTCTATAGTTTCCAGGAGCATACCTCATAGTAGGCCCAGAACCTAGACTGCCTGGTAGAGGGCCCGGGATAGCCAGGGCCAATAGAAGGAGCATGAATTTTGTGGTTGCAAGGGATACTCAGGATGATGGTGTGTTCATAGACTGGTAATCCAACTATGAGTTTCTTAGCTGGGGCCCATTGTCTTCCCAGTAGTTCTTGGTGTAATCCTGTAATCACAGGCAGTTTAGCTTGAGGCCCCACCCAACTGATGGAGTAATAATTAGGTATTAACTAGACTTTTTGGTAGGGTGGCTATGTTATCAAAAGAAGCCTTTTGAGATAGAGGCATACTATTTCAAAAGAGCTATATCAGTGATGCTTTTATAGCAGGTAAATTTGTACAGCAAGTAAAGCTATACCAAAAAGCTTGGTTAATACCTAATTAATAGGCCATCAACTGGATAGGGCCTCTAGCTAAGCTGCCTGCCATTGCTGGATTACCTCAAGTACTACTGGAAGGACAATAACATACCAATATATAGGCTTTGGGGCTTCCCTGGTGGCTCAAGACAGTAAAGAAACTGCCCACAATGTAGGATACCTGGTTTGATCCCTAGATCAGGAAAATCCCCTGGAGAAGGGAATGGCTACCCACCCCAGCATTCTTGCTTAGGGAATTTCAAGGACAGAGGAAAGTCGTGGGCTACAGTTCATGGGGTAGCAAAGAGTTGGACACAACTGAGCAATTAACACACACACACACACACACACACACACACACAATTTAGATATACCCTAAGCACCAAAAGTACATGAGAGAAGGACTTAGTTCATTTAACTAGTGGTTGAGGCTACTAGTGGACACTCATGGTTATTTGGCAGGGAGGCTAGATAAGCACTCATATTGGCTGCTCTAGTTGGACCTCCCACTACGGGTTTTGTTGGTTTTTGGTTTTTTTTTTTTAGTGATTTTTCTGGTATGATTCATTGGTGAATGGCTGAAATTCTGTACAGTGTACATGTGCAAGAACTGGAATGGTACAAAATAGGCGAAGCAGAAAGGGAACAGAAAGAGGGGAAAGGTGGAAGAAACATTCTATAATTTATGGGGAAAAAAGAATAATTGTGCTTCATTTCCTTTTATTAAAAAAGCACTGGCTGTTTTCTTGTCTCTTACCTGATAAAATTGTCAGTACAGGGTAATTAGTTGGTGAATTTTTAGTAAATAAGAACTAGTTAATTAATTATAACAGCTTAATTTCCCACTAAGGGCTTCCCAGGTGGCACTAATGGTAAAGAACACTCCTGCCAATGCAGGAGACATAAGAGACATGGGTTTAATCCCTGGATTGGGAAGATCCCCTGGAGGAGGGCATAGCAACCCACTCCAGTAGTCTTGTGTGTAGAATCCCATGGACAGAGGAGCCTGGTGAGCTACAGTCAATAAGGTCACAAAGAGTTGGACATGACTCAAGCTACTTAGCAAGCACTCCCAGCAAATAAGCACCAAAAAACTATTGGACTTCCCTAGTGTCTCGGATGGTAAAGAATTTGCCTGTAATGCAGGAGACCCAGGCTCAACCCCTGGAGAAGGTAATGGCTACCCACCCCAGTATTCTTGCCTGGAGAATTCCAAGGACAGAGGAGCCTCTTGGGCTACAGACCATGTAAACCAAGAGTTGGAAATGACTGAGCAATTAACACACACACACACACACACACACACACACACAGACTTTAGATATATCCCTCCCACCAAAAATATATGGGAGAAGAACTAAAGGGTTTTTTTTTTTTCATAATTTTTCTGGTATGATTCATTGGTGAATGACTGAAAGTCTGTACAGCATACATGTCCAGGAGTTAGAATACCAGAAAATAGGCAAAGCAGAAAGGGAACAGGAAGAAGGGAAAGGTGGGAGAAACATTTTATAATTTATGAAAAAATGAGTAATGGTACTTCATTTTCTTTGATGAAAAATGCACTGGTTGTTAATCTTGTTAATCTTGCACTAAATTTATGATCCCTTTTGTCTCTGTATCTCCATGTAATTGATAACATCCCTGGGCTGTATTTTGGTCTGTGCAGGGACTCATCACACTGACATTGGCATTGCTTCCAGTTGGGTATTTGTAGAGACAACTGATCTCTCCAGTGTAACTCTCCCAAGGTGAGTGTCTCCTGCATAAGTGATACCCAGAGGAGTTATGGGACATGTTGTTGCTCACTGGGACAGGTGGGGGAATCTCATAGGCTGACTGGCTGGTGAGGATGCCAGCAACTTCAGGAGTGGTAACGATCAGCTTCCGCTTGTTGATCTACTTGGCCTTCCATTCAAAAGCTTCACACATTTTCTGTGTGTAAGTAAAAGAAATTCTATAAATTTCAACTCTAAGCTGACTTGCATTACTATTTTGTGCATTACATTGATCTCTCCCATCCTTCATTCTTCAGCATCCTCACCAGAATGGAGTCTCCAGATCCTTCATCACCAATTCAGATTGTAGGGATTTAGGCTTTCTATATGGTCTCAGTGATCTTTCATAAGTGACTGATTGTTTGCTTTCCAGTCAAAATGATATGGAACATAGTTCACCTGCACCAGGACAGTGAAGAGATGACTATTCTAAAGAATACTCCCACAAGAGTCAAGGTGCTTCCAAAGTCCAGCCCCTCACACTTGTAGTGGAGAAGGAATTTGATGACCCAACCAATAGAAAAGTCTGAGTAGTTCTCAGGAATGGATACCATGGCAGCAAAACTAAGAGAAACCCAAAGAAGGCAGGGTAAGAACTTAGTGGCCCCAACACCTTGCAGTAAAATGAAAATAGAAAGTCATCTTGAAAAATTAATGGAGCAGTTCCAAAGCCCCAGTTGCCAAGAGCCAGGAGAATGTTCATTTGTCTATTTCTGAGGGAATAGAAGCAAAGTGCTGCTTCAGAACAAATGGAAAGAAAGATTGACTGATCATTTCAAAATCAGCTGTTGGAGTAATGGGGAAGCCAGGAGTCTCACACTGCCTCTCATGCTGATTTTTTTATTCTCATCCTTATTTCCTAAATTGTGAGAGTGGTTGGAGTAGGTGACCTCAAGTTGCTATGTTTCAATGTCTCTACTGTTCTAATTACTCCCCTTGGAGTGAAGTCCATGACTAAGGACACTGAGTGCTTCATCAATGCCAGCTTTGGATGGATTCTGAGTGGAAGATTGTTTCCATCTGAGTCCACAGGAACTTGGACTTTTCCATATTTTCCTTGGCGATGGAGCTGTGTTTCAATTGACAACAACCTCCTATGAGCCAGCAATTTCCCTTATGTTAGAGTCATCACTGTACTGGAATATTAAGAATATTAAGAATCTGTGTGCTTCTTGTTGGCCTGTTTAGAATTTCTGCCTGGGGGCTGCTGTGGAAGGTTTTGTTCAACTTGTTCTTGAAGGTAAAAAGATTCTGACTCACAGTCCTTTCATCATTTACGTGTCTTTCAGGTCAATGAGAGCTTGGTAGAGATTCACATCCTTTCTTTTGATGGTATGATCTCATTTCCCATGTTCCAGCAAAGGCATAGATAAGATGAGTATGAAGGCAGAGGTGAGGGCAGGCTTGAAGTGTCCCAGACCTGGCAGGTACTTGGCCTAGTTGGTGAAGTAGTAGGTCAGTTGCTGGGCAGAACCTACTACCCAGAGGAATAGAGTGGGAAACTCTCACAGAGGAAGCTCCCTTGAGAGTTGCAGATTGCTTAAGAAACCACAGATTTCCAAATAACTTTTCTGTTTAAATCTGAAGAGGGAAGGGGAGGATCTGCATGAGATCCTTGTGTATTACAGCAAACCTGTAATATATAGGCAATTCAGGGCTGATGGTATCTTTTAGAGGTATCCCTGTTTCTCCAAGAGGGAATTTTAAACCTTATCAATCAATGATTTTTGCTAAAATGAAAACTTAAAACTGGAAAACTCTGATTTAAATGTACTCTAGTTCCCTTACATGCTAATATTAGTAATTACTAATGCTTACTCAGCATGTGCTGTGTTCTAAGCAGTGCTCTGAGTAAATTATTAATAATTAAATTCACTCATTAACTGTCACTAAAATCCCACATGGTTGGTACTATCGTTACTCCATTACTCCCATTTTACTCATTTGGAAATGGAAATAGAAAGAATAATAGTGTATGTCTATTAATTACCTGTAGCTATCTGCCTGAGGAGTAATTTCACTCAGGGCAAAAATGAACCATCTGGTAGGGATCGAGAGTCCTGGCTTCAGGTATAGATTCTGCCATGGTAACTCCATGAACTCCCTATACTTCCACGGCCAAGTTATCTGACTCATCTTCGCCTTTTGTTGTTGTTGTTCAGTCACGCAGTCATGTGTGACTCTGTGACCCCCTGCGCTGCAGCACACAAGGCTTCCCTGTCCTTCACCATCTCCCGGAGCTTGCTCAAACTCATGTCCACTGAGTCAGTGATGCCATCCAACCATCTTGTTCTCTGTCATCCTCTTCTCCTCCTGCCTTCAACCTTTCCCAGCATCAGAGTCTTTTCCAACAAGTTGGCTTTTTGCATCATGTGGCCAAAGCATTGGAGCTTCAGCTTCAGCATCAGTCCTTCCAATGAATATTCAGGGTTGATTTCCTTTAGGATTGACTAGTTTGATCTGCTTGCAGTCCAAGAGACTCTCAAGAGTCTTCTCGAAACACTGCAGTTCCAAAACATCAATCCTTCAGCACTCGGCCTTCTTAATGGTCCAACTCTCACATCCATACATGACTACTGGAAAAAACCATAGCTTTGACTCTGTGAACTTTTATTGGCAAAGTTATGTCTCTACTTTGTAATATGCTGTCTAAGTGTCATAGCTTTTCTTCCAAGGAACAAGTGTCTTTTTAAAAAGGTAATTAATTTATTTTAATTGGAGGCTAATTACGTTATAATATTGTGGTGGGTTTTGCCATACATTCACATGAATCAGCCATGGATGTACATGTGTACATGTGTCTCCCAGCCTGAGTCCCCCTCCCACCTCCCTCCCCATCCCATCCTTCAGGGTCATTCAAGTGGACCAGTCCTGAGCACCCTGTCTCATGCATCGAACCTGGACTGGCAGTTTATTTCACATATGGTGATATACATGTGTCTATGCTATTCTCTCAAATCATCCCACCCTCAACTTCTCCCTCAGAGTTCAAAAGTCTGTTCTTTACATCTGTGTCTCTTGTGCTATCTTGCATATAAGGTCATTGTTACCATCTTTCTAAATTCCATATATATGCATTAATACACTGCATTGGTATTTTTCTTTCTGATGTACTTCACTCTGTATAATAGACTCCAATTTCATCCACCTCATTAGAACTGATTCAAATGCATTCTTTTTAATATCTGAGAAATATTCCATTGTATATATGTATCACAGCTTTCTTATCCATTCATCTGCTGATGAACATCTAGGCTTCTTCCATTACTAGCTATTGTAAACAGTGCTGAAATGAACATTGGGGTACACGTGTCTCTTTCAATTCTGGTTTCCTCTGTGTGTGTGCCCAACAGTTGGATTGCTGGGTCATATGGCAATTCTATTCCAGTTTTTTAAGGAATCTCCACACTGTTCTCCATAGTGGCTGTACTAGTTTGCATTCCCACCAACAGTGTAAGAGGGTTCCCTTTTCTCCACACCCTCTCCAGCATTTATTGCTTGTAGACTTTTGGATAGCAGCCATCCTGACTGGCGTGTAATGGTACCTCATTGTGGTTTTGATTTGCATTTCTCTGATAATGAGTGATGTTGAGCATCTTTTCATGTGTTTGTTAGCCATCTGTATGTCTTCCTTGGAGAAATGTCTGTT